CAGGTCTAGAGTCTTCCTCATTATTCTGTGATTTCCTTCAGGTTGGAGATGGGTCTTCTTTGCATCTGTACCTTCAGCCTGAATCCAGGTGTCTGGAAAATGGTTGGTGCTTCACAAATATGTGTTGAGTGAGATGAGATGTGACAGTGTCTCAGATGCTGTGTGCCTCCGACTTGGAGAGCATTTTTATTTTCTTAGTGTCCAAAGCTCAGTCCTTGGAACAGGAACGGCTTGTTTTGTATCTGTCCAAGGAGGTGTTGCATTTCTGGGTGAGAACCGCATCAATGAGCCAGGAATAGGCTTATAAAGCATGCAGATGCATCTGCAGTGGCTGTCAGCTCAGCAGAAGAAATTAATTAGTTGAAATTATCCTTCGTGGCACCAAAGGAAAACCAGCCTCTCCCTAGTAAACACGCTCTGCTGCTTGTAGAATAAAAGCCCTGAGTGCAGCGGAACTCGAGCACCCCCTTCTGCCACCTGGAGTCGTGGCCCTGCATGGCGATGCGCGTCGACTCCCCTCCCGCCCCCTCCTGCTCTGTGTCTTCCCCCTCCCCTGTCCTCGCCTCTGTAACAGGACGCTTTGTGCTAGTCTCTTCCTGTCCTCTTTTTTTGCCTTCCCTGACAGTTCTTGACTTCATGATGTAGTGTTTTGCTCTTTTACATTTTTGTGTATTAAAAACTAGATATCCATTGGGACTTTTAAATAAAGGAAAGCACAAAGAAACAGGAATGGTCTCCCACACAGATATAAACCTTTCTGGATAGTTTGAGGAAGCAATGTTCACATGGTTCAAAGATTAAAACAACAAACACTACTTATGATATTAAAGTTTCCTTCCTCTGCCTACCTACCTGCCATGCTTTGAGCGCCAATGATAGTTACAGTTAACATTTTAGTATGTGTTTTACCATAAAAATGTCTAAGATTTGTATACCAGCATATAAAAGTTAAAATGGATATATGTGTATCTTTTCTATTTACAAGGAACAGTACCCTCCAAACTGCTCTGAACATAACTTTTATCATTTAATGTATCTTAGAGATCTTATCATAGGCACCCCCTCTCTGCCATCTATCTGATTCTTTGGAGCTGTTGCATAATATTCCATTGTATGGATGATGCCATACTTTACTGATGTCTTGTAAATGTGCATGAAGTCTTTCTCTTTAACTGTTTCAGTAATTCAGATATGCCTCTCCTTTTATACATCTTTGAACATTCTGCAAAGGATGTGTACATTTTAAATATTTATGGTTACTGCTCTCCAAAAACTAATCTTTTATTAAATTAGACACTCCACCGAAGTGCTGGAGTGTACCTGATTCTCTATCAAACTTTTCTAGTTTTTGTCAACAGAAGAAAAACTTTATCTCATTGTTTTGAATTATTCTTCTGACTATGTGTGAAAGTGATGACTGTTTTTAAATTTACAGGCATTCCGTGGTTTAGCTGCCAGCTTCCTCCTCCTTTGCTTGGCCGTTTTTCTGTTTGGTGGCTGTGTTTTCTTTATTGGTTTATATAAGGTCTTTAGCTTCCTCCTCAGGAAGGCCTTCCCTGAGCCTCCACCTAAAATAAGAACTGAGCCACTGAGCCTCACAACAGCATGTTTAATCCTCTGCATAGGATTATCAGTGGATATTTTTCTCACTTATTCATGGCCTTCTCTTTTTTTAGAATATAAACTCTTAAGAAGCAACAATCTCATCTGTCTTGTTATATCCCCATCACATAGATGCAAGCCTGCCTCACAATATGCACTCAGATATTGTTGAATGACTGAATGGAAGAATAACTGAATTAACCTATGTGTGTCATAAACATCTTTTTAAGTTTTTATCCCAGTTGAAGTTTTGAATTTTGATGTAGCCAAATTTATTAATTTATTAATAAATCCTTTTATTTCATGAGTCTGTAGCTTCCTCATTCCAAGTTTATAAATACATTTACCCATGCCTCCTTTGGAAACTTCTATGGTTCCATCTTTTAAGTTCAAGTCCTGGGGCTCTGTAAAATTTATTTTGATATAAAAATAAAGGATCTTGTTCTGATTTTTTCTCACAGTAGTCAGCTAGTCCATCATCATTCACTGAACTCTCTCTCCTGTGAGGGTTTAGCAAAACAACTTATGGTAAGCTGTGCTTCCATGTAGTAAGTCTTTTCCTGAACTCAAATTGTTTTAATTACTGCAGTTTCATGATATGTTTTAGTATTTGGGAAAGCTAGTTCTCACTCATTTCTTTTTTTCAGGAATTTTTTTATTGCTATTTGCTAATATATCTTTTACCAGATAAGTTTCAGGATCATTTTTGCCAAGGCTGAAAAAATTATCTTAAAAATTATTTTAAGGAAATATGTGGTAATACGCATCTATAAAATATGTTTCAAAGGTTTTTAAAAACTCTTTTGTCTCATATCTAGGATTGATGTCCTAATTTAGTTTGTCCAGGGTTCATGTTATCAAACTTGGAATAGCTGGATATAGAAGTTGCTCCTTGGAGAAATGGGTTAATATAAGTGGGAAGAATTAGCATCCTTTGACAAGAGGGATTTAGGTTTGAACTTAAATTAGATAGATTCTGCTAGAATTTTTTAGTGTAAATGGGCTCTACAGTTCTAGATATGGCTGTTTATTCTCCCCCCCCTTTTTTTAATTAATTGGAGGCTAATTACTTTACAATATTGTAGTGGTTTTTATCATACACTGACATGAATCAGCCATGGATTTACATGTATTCCCCATCCCGATCCCCCCTCCCACCTCCCTCTCTACCCGATCCCTCTGGGTCTTCCCGGTGCACCAGGCCCGAGCACTTGTCTCATGCATCCAACCTGGCTGTTTATTCTTGAGTATGATTAACTAGTGACAAGTTATCCTTTATCTCCACCGCCTATACTGGATGCATTTTTACAGATTAGGTACAAAAAAGTCTAAGTTCTCGTCATTATTTTGTTACTTAGGAGCCATTTAGCCTCTCACAAAACATTTAAACTGAGTCTCTGATCCTTTGTTTCCTCTTCTATAAAAGAAGTGTAATAATGTTTATCCATTCATTCATCAAAAAATGCTATCTGCCTACCTTTGAGAATTGTCGTGAGGATCAAGTAACAGAATTCCAGTATAATTTTTGCTTCAGAATATTAAGGTCTGGTTAAACACTGCACTTTCAAAACATTTCATTTGCTTAACTCCAGTCCCTCTTTCCGTAGAGCCCCTAAAAAGACAACAAAGGAAAGGTTTTTTAAAAAGGCATAAGCCAGTATGTAGAACAAAAGTGCAGACCAGGAGGCTGCTGCAAAAAACGTTATCAGCACAATTTTGGAAGCTGGTAGGAAGAGCAGGAGAAGGCAGGACTCATTTTCAAGACATGTAATACTGATATTGAAGCAGTCCTGATACAGATGTGGAATTAGACGCACCTGGTACCTCGGAGGGCTAGAGTTGAAAAAAGGGTGACTTGGAAATCTAGCTGAGGAGTGGTAAGACCCCTAGGACTCTTCCCTCACCACAGTGAAACTTAAACAAAGTTGTCAGGATGAAGGATGAGGATGGTGGTATACCGGGAAGGGAAATGGGCATTGGGATGGAGGTAGTAATAGAGATGTATATCTCCATGGTAGGAGGCCAAATGTTAATGCTATTTTTTTTTTAATTAAGAAACAGAAGAATATTCATGCTTTAAACAAGGCAACTGACAGATGAAACCACACACAAAAACTGAAAATGATTGTATGGGTGTGGGGGAAGACTGGGACTTCCTTTATTTTAATATAAGCCTAGTATAAGTAGTACTATTGCTTGGTAGATTTTTAATCTATGCTTATACAGTGACAGAAATTAAAGTGAAAGACTTTATGCCACTGTGAAAAAGTAAGTCTCTAGCACAAGCCTCAGCATTTAATACTTGTGAAGTGACTGAATGAGTACTTTTTTCCCCTTGTCATTGGTGCTCAGGAGAAATTAGGATTAAATATTGTGCTTTAGGGATTAATGTGTAGCTTACTTGGATTATCACAGTTTAAGAAACCAGTCCTTATTTTGGAGGCTATACAATGTTGGAAGGCCTTAGAATAAAATTAAAAGAATAAAATGTCAATCTGAATTTTGAACTTATTTTATACTTTTCATCATGGAAGTTTGCGGGTTAAAAAAGTACACAAGCTGCTATGTGTTTATCAAGAGGTGACTGTAGTTTCTCTCTTTGAAAACCTCTTTGACTCCGGCACTAACCCCTGACAGGGGCCTGATAACTTCCCTCTGCCTTTTCCTGCCTGGGACATGAGGTTATAACTTGGTCTGCCTAAGGTGTAGGCAGTTGAGTGTTGAGATTCTCTGGCAACCTAGTTGTTTGGTTTGATACTGTGAGCACAGTAACGGGATGTGGAAGTTGCTGACTCTTCCAAGAAGGTAGAATGTCAGAAGCTAGAGATTTAGTTGGAGTAATATGACCTCCTATTTGAAGCAAAGCATCCACTCCCATGTTCTGCTAGTTTTAGAAATAACTAGTCAATGATAGCTGTGTGATTATTCTCCAGGATGGAAAATGTGTTTCTAATGGAACTGCTCTACAGAATTGAGTCCAATATATATTTGTAAGCAGCTGTGAACTTGTTGGGAAAAAGAAGCTCAAGAAATTACCAAGAAATAGCATTGTGTAACATTCCTTAAGGAAACTAATTTGATTTGTTTTTCTTTGTAAGACACAGGTGAGTTTGGCTCACATTGCGTTTTCTCCTGTGTATGTTGTACCTAGTGGTCTAATAGCTTGAACATGCACATTGCCTTTTTAATCTCACGATTTTACACTCACAGTTATTATTTGGCTAAGGCACAATTATTTTTGCTACCTAGTTATGTAAGAAAACAATTTCACATGGAAATGGCACTTAAGTAAAAATTTCAAAAATGAAATATTGTCCGAGCTAAGGTTAAATATGTAATTGATTTGGGTGTCTTCTGTACAACCATGTTAACTGAAAACCATATTTTAATGTTCCTAGGGTGAATTACTGGAATTTAAACGACAGCAACAGGAGGAAGAAAGAACCAAAAGCCACCAAGCTGAACACAGGAGGTATAAACCACTAAAATAAGCATCCTTGGTTAAAACAATTACCTATAAAGTTTTTGCAATGTTTTAGGAAAACACAGTAACACTGAACAGGGTTTTGGAATCTATATTAGTTTTTTAATCATTATATTATTGGGGTGTGGTATGTGGTATGTGCACATGCACACACATACATATACAAACAATATCCAATTTTTCTGAATTGGCAGCATAAATTGACCCTAGAAAGTGGACTCAGCTCTCAAGCTATATGTTTGTTTAGGTTATACTTGATCTCCCTCCCATAAGACAAAGCGTGGTAATCCTTTTATATAATCTTTACCATTTGTACACTACTTTATAATAACTGAACTAGTATAGATGGTTAGATACTCATACCTGAATATAAAAGCTCAGACAAGAACTACCATTAGTTATTTTATGTTGACTAATATATTAGGGGAAAATGTTTAGAATCAGTAAGTAATTTTTAATAGTGGAAATAGTCTTTATCTTATTTCTAATGTCAGACATTAAGAGTGCCCAGAATATCATGTTGATATTGGGCCAGTGCTAATAATTACCTTATCTATCATTATTCTAGATTTTCCTAGGGAGCAGTTGGGTTATTTGAGTTTATTGCCATGTGATTGAGTGTCTCAGGAGAAGAATTTAATATAAAGGCTTTCATGATTTGAAGGAGCAAATTCTTTCAAAACTGACTGGCTTCATTTATGTGTTTAACCTTCCCACTATCGCTAAGGCATACTTTTAAATTGTGGTGGCTTTCATTTTGTAAATGAGACTTTAGAAAGTGTTAATGGAAGTTCCTAATTCTGCTGTACCTGCCAACTGTGGCTGTGTATTCATATTATTTTGAATGGATTATTCTGCTTCCATGGTCCTGTCAAGATAATTTTAAAATGTTAAATGCAAATTTATATGTTTTTCTCTGGTTATAAAGTGAAAAAGTGAAAGTGTTAGTCACTCAATTATGTCTGACTCTTTGCGACCCCATAGACTGTAGCCCACCAGGGTCCTCTGTTATGAGATTCTCTGGGAAAGAGTACTGGAGTGGGTTGCCATTTCTTTTTCCAGGGGGTCTTCCTGACCCAGGGATTGAACCTGGGTCTGCTACATTACAGGCAGATTCTTTACTGTCTGAGCCACCAGGGAACCCCTCTCTGCTTGTAAGGAAACATCAAAATTCTGATACACTGGTTAGACTATTTTCTTGGATAAAGGGGAACCATTACTACTACCTATTTTTTCTTTTGTTTTTATTTTTCATTTTAAAAACTTTTTAATTTGTATTGGAATATAGCCAGTTAACAACCAATGCTGTGATAGTTTCAGTTGAACATCAAAGGGACTCAGCCACACATATATATACATGTATCCATTCTCCCCCACAGTTGGACCTTTGCCAACAAAGGTCCGTCTATCAAAGCTATGGTTTTTCCAGTAGTCATGTATGGATGTGAGAGTTGGACTATAAAGCTGAGCACCGAAGGATTGATGCTTTTGAACTGTGGTATTGGAGAAGACTCTTAAGAGTCCCTTGGACTGCAAGGAGATCCAACCAGTCCATCCTAAAGGAAATCAGGCCTGAATATTCATTGGAAGGACTGATGTTGAAGTTGAAACTTCAAAACTTTGGCCACCTGATGCGAAGAACTAATTCATCTGAAAAGACCCTGGTGCTGGGAAAGATAGAAGGCGGGAGGAGAAGCGGATGACAGAGGATGAGATGGTTGGATGGCATCACCGACTCGATGGACATGAGTTTGGATAAACTGTGGGAGCTGGTGATGGACAGGGATGCCTGGTGTGCTGCAGTCCATGGGGTTGCAGAGTCAGACACAACTGAGTGACTGAACTGAACTGAACCGAACTGATTCTCCCCCAAACTGCCCTTGCCATTCAGGCTGCCATATAACATTTACTGCTACTTTTTTTTTTTTAATAAACCAGGTCATAAATTAGTTTAGTCTTTTACTTTTTCTCTTTAAAAGTCTTTCTATTAAAAAACCTGATATTTCTATAACACTAGTTATTAGTAGCCAGTATTTCTCTGGATTTCTGAGGATTAATTGGATTATAAAGCTTTAGGCATTTTAAAGATAGTGATATGTCACATTAATAGGGCCCACTGCGAAGAAATTAATCTTCAGTGGGCACCCAATAAAAATGCATTATTTGATTAGAGGTCAAAAAGATTACTTTTTGTTATGGAACTTTGACCTTTATTTCCTTATTGCTGAATACCTAAGTACTGATGGCACTATTTCTTTCCTCCACCTTCTATTCTTTCTATTGATTCTAGTTAAATATAGATCCAAATTTAATCCAATAGGAAATCTCTCTGGATAATAAACTCAGTAACCAGTTTTGAAATAACTGATCAAGTCTTTACACATATTTATACTATCAGTTTTTGATAAAAGCTCATGTTTGTATTGTTCTTTGGTGCTTACAGTGAGCTTTTCCATCTTTTCATATGAAAAGACTCATTCAGTTGTCACTTAATGAATAAAATAGTTTTGTCCACTCCTGCTGAGGGTATCAATACAAGCTATGTGGTTTGGGTAAAGGGGTCGTTAAGTTAGGTTTTCTCCAAGGACATAATTTTATTGCAGACAAGAAGACCATGTGTTTTCTACTGTTTGGAAGTTCACATAGCAGAAAATGCAGCCCTGAGTTTTATAATAGAAATCATGCAGATTCCTAACAAGCTTTACAACCAATCCTGTAACGATTGAACCTAATGGCATCTGAACCTGACCCAGTGTAACTTTCTGAGGAAGAGAAGAAAGTTAAAACTTCAGAGGAAAAAACAGAGCACTGGGGGTGAAGGACTAGAACTGGGCTGCAATCTGGAAATTGGAATGAACTGAACTGATTTATTGAAACATGAATCATCTCTGAACAATAGTTTTTATCCAAGTTAAGCCTCTGAAGAAAACCCTAAGCATTAGCTTGACAGCAATGAAATATATGTATTTTCTAAAACTAGTAAACAAAAATATAAACTGGAACTTTTCCCCCCTATTTGAATTTGTTACTGAGTCCAAGCTCGCACTTTTCGTCCGATGACAGGCCAATAAATTGAGAGATGAGTTGTTGGGACAAAGAATAGCAACATTATTGGACAGCCGGCAAAAGATGGTAGACGTGTGTCTCAAAGTACCAGTCTTGCCTGAATTAGAATTCAGGCTTCTTTTCTACTAAAAGGGGAAGGAGTAAAGTCAAACATTTCCTGGTTCCAGTCAGTGACTGAGGTTTATGTGTTAGTTTCTTCTTTCCTGCAGTCATTAATAGAGGGCCTGGTCAGGATGTTTCCTGCAAGCTAAACAAAGGTATTTTAGCTTAATGCTCATTATCTGAGAAGCAGGGTTCTCAGAGATGGGCCATTATGTATAATTTAAGCTTATAGGCAACATCCCTCTAGTGATTAACTTGTAATAGAATACAAAAGATTCTTCCCTATTACAAATTCTTGATAGAAATTGAAAAAGTAATCTCTTTACCATCTGTGATCTCTAGTTGACCCAGCCTACTGTCCTCTTAGTAACACGCTCAAAAGTGAATCACATCACCTTGTGTACATGACAAAGTCATCCATCTTCAAAGTGTTAAGTGAATGGAGGGCAGTGGGCAATGAACTACTCTCACTACCATGGCTAATTTTACAATGCAGCTGCAGTCACAGAAAGAGGCTAATGCGGGGACCATGCACCTGGACAATTCATCCATTCACCTCTTAAGAATCAGGGCATACCCTGTGCTTTGTTCTAGGCACTAGGAATAGGTGCAAACAAGGCAGAGAAGGTCCCCAGCCACATGGGATTTACAGTCTGGAGGAGATGAACAGAAGGTAACAATTTAGCAGCAAGGTTATTTCAGAGAGCAATGCACAGCATGAGGACCACATCACAAAACGACACTAAGGGAGAGATTACAGGCAATAGTTCTTCAGTGAAGAGGTGACATCCAAGAACAAGGGTCAGTCACACAGAGATGGGAAGGGGCAAAACATTACAATGGGATGTTCCCTCTTATCAAGCATAGCAACAAACACAAAGGCCCTAAATCGGGAATAAGCTTGAACTTTCTGAGTCCCAAATGATTTGCTTATAGATGGTGAGAAAGAGACTACTACAAAATGAGAAAAGAAAGATAGGCAGGAAGTAGAAGATTTTGTAAGTCAATTATTTTATTCTAAGACTAATAAGTCGTGGGAGGGTTTTAAACAAAAGGAAGGCCTGGTCCCTTTTATAACTTATTCAAGTGGTTGTGTGGAGAATGGATTGCAGAGGGCAGGAGTGGAAAGAGAGGCAAATGAGAGAAGATAGGGATTTGGACTAGAATGGTGGCCACGGAAATAAAAGGTAAATTCAGGATATGTTTAGTGGGTGGAGCCAACAAGGATTCTAGTGGATTGGATGTGAGATGGGATGAGGGATATTGAGGGAATGTCCATCTTTGTTACTGACAGAGACTGGATAAAAACAGCCCCAGGTGTATGGATTGTCCAACACATAGTTGGACAGTACAGGTGTATGTACAATACCATTGGTTGTATAGTTTTAGGGGAATCAAGGCCAGTTTCTTCTTCCTTAATATTCAAGTTTCCAGCTCAGGTATCTTATTTCAATCTGCATGCTGAGAGGTCTAGAAAAGGCAGTGTAAACATTCAGTCCTGCAGTGAACTAGGCTGACCAGTGGAGAAGGAGATGACAACCCACTGCAGTATTCTTGCCTGGATAATCCCACGGACAGAGGAGCCTGCTAGGCTACAGTCCACAGGATTGAAAGAGTCAGACACGACTTAGCAACTAAACCACCGCCACCAGGCGGACCAGAATATGACACCTTGGTAGATTTTATGGTGAGAGATTAAAAAAAAAAAAAGCTTTCTAATAACTAAGATGTAACCACTGCCAAATGGGGCTTGAAGTTGAAAACAGCAACCATAAATCAGAGACTAACCTGAGTCAACATGCAGTTGGCATTTTAGCTTA